GTGTGTATGTGTGTGTGTGTGTGTGTGTGTGTGTGTGTGTGTGTGTTGTCACTGTGATGGAGGCTAAGCTAAGAAGCTAACAGAAATCTCGTGTGCTGTAAACAACCCTACTGAGAGGAGAAATATACGGAGCTGAACGAGACGACTGTAAATGAGAGCTGCTGCTTTGTCAGACTAATTTATTTTAATTTGAAGCCTTATCAACACAGACTGGCTTCAGTCACTTCCTCCACTGCTGCATGCTAAAATAACTAGCAGACACTGAGCAGAACATCGACGTCATTCAAAACTCCTCATTCTGTTCTCTGATTGGCCTGAATGAAATTCTCCTGAAGAAATCCTTGTCTATGGGAGAAATCTCAGACGGAGCAGAGAAGGAAACCAGAACTGAGCAGAACTGAGTAGGAAGGCAAGGACCAGGTTAGTTATAGACCAGTAACAGATAATTTTAGGGAAAATGTCTGGGTTAGACATAAATACAGTTACAAAAATGAATGGAAGTCAATACAAAGTCCTCATTTTGATGCAAATTCAAGGATGTGAGTGTGTGTGTGCGGTCTTTACTAACATGGCAGGATGTTGTTGTAGCGGTTCTTTCCTCGGTTCTCCGGCAGCCGGGCCACGTCCATGGTCTGGTTCCGGCCCACGTCCTTCAGGTCCTGCAGAAACAAACTTTAGTGTTGAGCCTGTTYCTGAACACTGAAGCTCTACCTGCTGGTCAGGTGTTTTAATGTCGTAAACATTTGTTTAGATTTGTTTGTAAAGACACTTGAGTTTCTGCTCRCTAACAGAACAGGTGTGTTCTCTGTGTCTAATCACCTCAAACTCCTCTGACAGCAGGTAGTTGGAGTCGGCCAGCAGTTTGTTCAGGTGAGACTCAAAGTGTCCAACTTTGATGGGACTGAACAGGAAGAGGAGGAGCCATCATCATCATCATCATCATTTTTAATTTAACAGCATTATAAAGACTTTAAACTCACCTGGTGACGCGACGATTACTGCCAAAAACAACACAGAACAAGAGTTACAATGATGTCATGCTACGCTAACGGTTAGCTTAGCTCCTTCGACTCACCTCCTCACTCCCAGATACATTCCTGAAGCTGGGACCTCCTTCCACATGCTCATCCTCACCACGGGGTTCTCCTGCACCGCCCTGCAGCGACATGAATCAGGTGTTTYACTGCAGACACACCTGTCACCTGGACGTTCTCCTTCAGTACCACGTTAGGAATGTAAACTGGATTGGGTCGGGCTGGACTCACACTTTGCGGAGCCTCTGTCTGTAAACCAGCAGGGACACGACGGCCACCATCACCCCGAGCAGGAACATCCCGGCGCTCAGCCCCTCCACCACGCCCCCCAGAGGTTCTGAGGGACAACAACACGTCAGCTGGCTGACACTGCCTTTGGTGTGTATTACTGGAGTGGGCGTGGCTAACATTGATATATATTACTGGAGTGGGTGTGGCTAGCATGATAAATATTACTGGAGTGGGCGTGGCTAGCATTGATGTTTATTACTCGAGTGGGCGTGGCTAGCATTGATGTTTATTACTCGAGTGGGCGTGGCTAGCATTGAT